AAAAAACCAGATTTCGCAAACAAAATCTTTTTTTTTTTGTTTTTTTACACATTGTGTGCAAAATTATTTTTAAATTTTTTGCGCAATTATTGCTAATTAAAAAAACAAAGGCCTTGAAATAATTAAACAAAAAAAAAAAAAAGAAAAAATAAAAAAAAAAAAAAAAAAAAGAATCCAATCCCTAAACTGGAAAAAATCTTCAAAAAAAAAGTGTCATCACTGTGTGTCACCACTGTGCAAGACTGACAGTTTTGAGAATGTTTATGCAATTATTCTGCTTTTAGCAATTGAAGGGCTCGGAAAACCGTTAAGAGAAACTGATAAAGAAGAAAAGAAGCTGAGATGAAACTGAGCATTTGTCATGAGGAAATGGCTAACCTGGCACAAATCCTCTAATAATCAAGCACTACAAGGCAAGTTTACCCATGTTCTTTTCTTTCCATCTTGCCTTGTTTCTATTTGGTGATAGATCACAGAAGGCTTCAAAAAGTGTTGAGAACATCATCGACACACTCCTGTGGCTTGTGTGCCTTTTTCTTGTTCTTACCACATTTTGACATCATCTTTGATCAAATATTACTGAAGAAACCACCCTGGGCGCCTTGTGTCCTGTGGATTCAGCCTCAGCCAAAGACATTTCACCCAACCTGGCCAACCCTGAAGCATCTCATCCCCCTTCCTCACCCCACACATACATGAGAAAATCCTCTAATACCTAGTAGGCAGAGCAGGGCATCAACAGACACATGGCAAAGTGAAATCTATTTATAAGGTATGCAAATATATATTACAATCACCTCTGTAGATAATGCTGTCTGAAGGTGGGACTGACTGTTTACGGCATGAGCCCAAGTAACATCCAAAGCATCATTTACATCAAAAAATTCCAACAAATCAACAGAAAAATGCTGCTGACTAGTCCTCTGTCTTTTTTCCATTTTTCCAGCCTACAGAGTTTGGAAACGAAAGAAATACAATATTCTCTTTGCAGTTCTGTAAGAATATTATATCTATCTGCTCTTCATTATCTTCAACCTGCCCGTGCAATGAAAGTCACAAAATTCAAGTTTTTATCCAGATTTACAGATAAAAATCGCTTGCTTCACCTTGCGTCCAAGCTGTAGCAAGTTTCTAACGTACGACACCAAAAGAAACAAAACCACTAAGACCAAAACTCCAATCAAAGTTCTCTTCATCCTGTTGTTGATCCGTCCGCCATTTTTTTTTTTGGCTTGACTTGTGCCCAGTTTGCCGCGGGTAATTAAAGCGAAGAGGACTGAAGCTGATAAACATGGCGGACGATGGCTGGAGGAAGGCCAAAATGCGACAAACCGTGGATCGGCTATGAAACAAAGCATATTTATACGACGATGGATTATCCTAGTTTTGCTTTTAATGACTTCTATTACCTTTCTGTTTCTACAGCTATTATCTTTAAAAGCAATTGATAACACGGTGAGTGCAATAGCTCTTTTTAGTCTTGGCGCCTTACGTACTACTTCAGCGGTATTAACGTTTAGTTACTGATACTCAGTATTTATTGATCTGCAATATGAATACCTCCCATAGGTGGTATCTAGGTTCAGAGTTTTAGAAAGTCTGCGAGGCTTACTTCCATTCCAACACCAAAGGAATCTTGTGCTGGTATGTTTTGAACACAGGGAGCCCACACAATCTGTGTGTGTAGCCGATTGTTTCGTAAAATCCCACTAGAGGTCTATTATCAATGCTGCGTTCTGATTGGTTGAGCTACTACTAGGCTATATGTTATAGTCCACTAGTAGAGAAAAGCGCAGGCTAAAAAGGATTAAAGTCTAGCTTTAACTAGGTAAAATTTTTTTATTCTCGATATTTTTGACCAACTAGTTGGATTTTACTAAAACAATTTTTCCTCTCGCCCTCATGGCCTCTGAGTCGCCCATTTGGCCTTCGGCCTCATGGGCTATTGACTCAGAGCCCATTTGGGCTCGAGGAATAATTGATAAATAGTAAATGTAATGGATTTACCATTTGCTTTACCTATAGCGATACATCGCTAAGTATGTATATAACTCAATGTTAAATAAACGTTGAATTACCTTACCTGCGATGTGTTGTTGTCCTTTTGCCTCAAAAGGGGTTTTTGAGTGATTTTGAAGGATTTTGAGTTCGCTGTTTACTGTTTCTTATATAAGCTTGTTTTGAAAGGGCTCCAGCGCCAAAGTGATTTTCCCCCAGAAAACCGCATTGTTCCACTTTTAAACTTCGCAGCAAAAAGGTCAAAAGGTTCACGCTTCTCCTAATACTTCCAATCGAAAATCCATCCAACAGCCCTGGAGCTAGCTCTTGAAGAAAATTAAAATGCCACAGGTTTTGGATGGTCAAAATACATAGCAAGATTCATATGTGCCAGTGAGAAATCGTCCCGCTGATTGCCTCTTTTTGATTGGATGTCATTAAACAATAATTTTGTACCAAGTCTACTTTAAATCAGTTACTGTTTAACCATTTCATTTACATACATACTTAGTGATCTTTCACTATAGGTGAAACAAACGGTAAATCTGGTACATTTACTATAAAATAACAATCGGCTACACATACAGATGTGTGTGTACACCCTGTGGTTTTGAATTGATTCAGTATGTAATTCTGTAGAGTTTTAAAAAGTAAATTAATTTGTAATAGTTTAAGTAGAGTTCAGCTGCATTTTGCCTTGCTTTCGACTATTAATGCATCAAGAATCCCTTTCCTGTATAAGGAAAGTAACTGTAGAAAATAGATTAAAAGCTGTACCTGGAAAATCACAAGTCAAGACAAACAAATGACCTTTGTATTAACCAAGGGATGATACAGTTTGTACGTGGGAGTACCTCCCCCACCCCCCCAACCCTTTAAATCGGGTTGAGTATGAAATCTCTCATCATTCTCTAAACTTGTGATGGGTAAAATATTTTTTAGGCAGGTCACCCCATTTATTGTGTAAGGCTTCCAAAAATTCCTTACTGAGCCTTCATACATCAAATCTTATTCTATAATGCATCACAAATGATGTGTAATGATTTTTTTTTTCCTCATTTGCCATAGTTATTCTTGTTTTACAGAAACATTTGAAGACTTTTGCAGAAGTGACCAAGCAGCATGGGATTCCAACATTTCTGTTTTATCCTTTACCTGTATCTTTTCCAATCAAGAACTCAAGTAAATTTCAAAATCTAGAAAATGACCGATGTGAGCTGCTTTGTGACTGTCAGTACTTTGTTTTTGGTGTAATACATTCAGCATGGCAGAAAGGAGAAAAATTTCCAGTATCTTCATTAATAGTAAGTATGGTTGTTGATGATGATGATGACAATAATGATGATGATGATGATGATGATGATGATGATGATGATGATAATGATGATGATGATGGTGATAATAAAAAACCTAAATTAGATGGAATTGATAGCTACTATCATCTGATAAGGTTGTTTGTGGGTGCAACTAAATGTATGACTGTCTTGATTCTATTTTAAAACGCGGTGGCAGCTCTAGCTAAGGGAGGGGCTAGGGATAACAGGTCCCCCTATCATAATTATTAATTGGACCAAAAACCAGGTTCCAGAGAGCCAAGATACTGACACAACAATTATTTACAGGACCTTCCTACCCACCCCCCCTTTCCTCACCCAGCCATCCCCTTTGTTTCTGTCAACATCTGGGCCCACCACTGCAGTGCACAATATTTCAAGATTATTCAGAGATTTATTTATTTGAGTGTTGACGCTTCTTGGTGAAATTCACTTATGTCACCAACAACCTCTTTTCCTGCTTTAATTTCCTCTTTCCGGTCCCATTCGATTTATATTATCATCACCTCCAACAAATAAGTAAACATGCAAACCTAGGCAACACTTTTCTTGTCCTTTTCACAAATGCCTTCCTCTTTTTTCATGTTCCACTGGAAAAAAATAACTTGACACTATTAAAATCTTCCAGAAAGTACCAATAATCTGACAGCAGCAAGAATACCATATGATAATAATTGCGTTTTTTTTATCATTTTAGTCCCAGTTAATTTCTCACCTTAGCAAACAAGGTTTCAGGACTGTCTGCCATAATGTTGAAGAGCCATGGTTTGACTCAACTAAAGACTTCATGAATATAAATATCATCATTTCGTCATGCATGATATCACAAGGTGGCATTACTGTGGAGCTGCTGGTATTTTATGACAGGGATTCATATTTGTGGCATGGACCACTTCAGGGTAATAATGCACTGAGGATTGCTGATAAAGATTCCGGAGCATTCAACAGGTCAGCTTATTGATATAAGAATCGGCATACTGCTGAAACAAGTTTGTTTGGTGGCGCAGTGGGGAGAGAACTTTTCTCCCAGCAATGTGGCCTGGGTTCAAATCGTGGCGTCAACGCCATAATGGGTTGAGTTTGCTGTTGGTTCCCTTCCTTGCTCTGGGAGGTTTTTCCCCGAACACTGCGGTTTTCCGCTCTGCTAAAAAACCAACACTTCCAATTCGATCTGGAACGCACAGACACAAATCAGCAAGATCTTAAGAACTTCTAAGTGCTCCGTGGGTAAACAAATTACAATTTACAATTTTTTTAGGGGCTGTCTCATGACTGGCTAGTTTGTTTGTTTTTTTGTTGTTGTTAACAATGCCACAAATATGCACTATGAAACTTGAGATCTGAAATAACTTGTGAATGACAAAATCACAGGTTTGTGTCAAATAACTATTTCTCCCAAGCATGTCCCTTTAAAATCCCTTTTTTATAACAATAACAGCAGTAATAATCGCATTAAAAATGTGAAAAACAAAGATTAGTAAATGCTGAAGTGGTTTTGCGGACGGTGCTTATCAAAAAAACCTCTGTTCCTCAATGCGCGCTTATACAAGGGCAGCGCTCTTTTGAGTGAGTGCCTTAATGCCAAAAAATTCCCACAACTGTATTTGGCAAGTTAGCCAGTAAACAGGGGACGTATTTCCAGTCGCCAAGACTGAAAAAATGTCTGCTGTCACAGTAGGGGCCATTGCGAAGTTGCGAAAAGGTCATGATTTAATTCTCCTATTTGATATTCGCCAAGTGTAACTTCATGATGTAACACTACCCCATCACCATTTACCACCAAATGATGATGATAATCTTTATGGCTTTATTCCCACTGTGGTTCATTTCTTCATCAAAGTTTCATCGTTGGCTGTTCACGTTTTTCTGTTACAGGTTCTCAATTAAGGAAGCGATTGTCGATGGAATTCGCCTGAATCTCCCTTCGGATCCCGACAAATTAGCTTCACAGCAAAAGCAGTCACGTTTCAAAGGATGTAACCTCACAAATGCTCGACATTATTACAGTAAATATGGCAGAGACGTATCGCCAGACGCTGTGCTATTTAAAAGTAAAGCTGTAGAAGTGCTATCTATAGCCATTAAGGCACTGAATCGACTTGGTGTAAGATATTGGCTTAGTAGCGGAACTTGTTTAGGTAAGAAACGTTTGGATTGAAGGTGATTTATTGTTATTGTTGTTACTTCGTTTTTCCATCGCGATAATTAGTTCTTCTATTTCAGTTTGGAAATATTACCTGTTATGTTTTGATTGAAATCAACTAGGTCACCAACCCCCCAAACCCCCCTGCCCACCTTAAAATCATTCCAAAAGTCGCGTTTGTTTCAAGTAACCATCATAAGGGGAAGACGGCAGACATAATTTGTCGACCTTTGCTGATTTGGTTAAGGATTGAAGATCGTTTATTGAAACAACAACAGCAAACCATTTTATTTGCTAACTTAAAAAAAGTTTACAAGAAGTAAGTAAATTGAAGTAGATCAGGCAAAAAAAATACCCTGAATAGCAAAAACTAAACTGGCTTAGTAGTCATTGAAACGAAGTCTAATCACGACAGTCATTAGACCTGCAGCTCTGTTTCAAACATACATGCATACATACATATACTTCATTTAACCTCGAATTTAGAATGGCTACAGTAGAAGATAAAATGCTTTTTTTAGTCTACGCCATACGCTTTTAAAACTGTTCAGTTTTTAGATATCAAGGTTGGTCTAATTGAAAATGTTCACAACGCGGNTGATGATGATAATCTTTATGGCTTTATTCCCACTGTGGTTCATTTCTTCATCAAAGTTTCATCGTTGGCTGTTCACGTTTTTCTGTTACAGGTTCTCAATTAAGGAAGCGATTGTCGATGGAATTCGCCTGAATCTCCCTTCGGATCCCGACAAATTAGCTTCACAGCAAAAGCAGTCACGTTTCAAAGGATGTAACCTCACAAATGCTCGACATTATTACAGTAAATATGGCAGAGACGTATCGCCAGACGCTGTGCTATTTAAAAGTAAAGCTGTAGAAGTGCTATCTATAGCCATTAAGGCACTGAATCGACTTGGTGTAAGATATTGGCTTAGTAGCGGAACTTGTTTAGGTAAGAAACGTTTGGATTGAAGGTGATTTATTGTTATTGTTGTTACTTCGTTTTTCCATCGCGATAATTAGTTCTTCTATTTCAGTTTGGAAATATTACCTGTTATGTTTTGATTGAAATCAACTAGGTCACCAACCCCCCAAACCCCCCTGCCCACCTTAAAATCATTCCAAAAGTCGCGTTTGTTTCAAGTAACCATCATAAGGGGAAGACGGCAGACATAATTTGTCGACCTTTGCTGATTTGGTTAAGGATTGAAGATCGTTTATTGAAACAACAACAGCAAACCATTTTATTTGCTAACTTAAAAAAAGTTTACAAGAAGTAAGTAAATTGAAGTAGATCAGGCAAAAAAAATACCCTGAATAGCAAAAACTAAACTGGCTTAGTAGTCATTGAAACGAAGTCTAATCACGACAGTCATTAGACCTGCAGCTCTGTTTCAAACATACATGCATACATACATATACTTCATTTAACCTCGAATTTAGAATGGCTACAGTAGAAGATAAAATGCTTTTTTTAGTCTACGCCATACGCTTTTAAAACTGTTCAGTTTTTAGATATCAAGGTTGGTCTAATTGAAAATGTTCACAACGCGGTTTCGCTAAACATTTTTAAAAAACTCTAATTTCCTTCGCACTTTCTTTCAGGTTGGTTCAGGCAATGTGATATTATTCCTCACAGTAAAGACGTGGACATTGGTATATGGATCAAGGACTACAACTCACTGCTTATTTCCGAGTTTAAAAAAAGTGGGCTGCTTTTAAAACACAAATTTGGTCGCGTAAGTTGGGAGGCCGTGCCTGAGTCTTTCTTTTCATTTACCACTGTCAAGGGATAAAAGCTTCGTTTATTGAAGCTAGAAACTGACCATTTTTTTTTCAACGATTGTATAGCCTGAAAAACAACCAAAGGCCACTGGTTTCCCCGCGAAATGACGTCAGAGAAACGACTGCAGAAATTCCATACTGATGACGTGTCACTACCCAAATCTGGCTTGAGCTTCTGATTGGTTGAAACAAAAGCGGCACGATAGCCGGTCTACCCGGCGGAATTGTTTTTTACCATTGCCTTGCCGCGCGCGAGAAGCGAGCGCCGAAGCGTCCCCTCCCCATTCTCTGAGCACGGCTTCGCAGTTCCTCTGCCAAAACTTTTTTCGCGCTAAATAACGATCTTGTTGATCCCGTTGGTTACGCAGGCTAGCGGCACGACCAATCAGAAGGCTACCGCTTGCTTAACCCTTGGGAAACAATTGTGCGTTGGGCAATAGTAAAAAGGGAGACTGAATTTTTTAACTAAAACGAAGGAACATGTTTTGCCATTACGTTTTTGTTTTTTGTTTGTTTGTTTTTTTTCTGAATACAAACTGTTTCCTTTTTACCTAGATTGAAGATAGCTTTGAGCTGTCGTTTAGAACTGTCGAGGATTACGTCAAGCTGGACATTTTCTTTTTCTACGAGGAGAAGGATTATATGTGGAATGGTGGAACACAAGCAAGAACAGGAAAGAAGTTCAAGTAAGATTAAAGTAATAACATAGTTTGTCGTTAGAGAGATTTAGAATTACGTTTACGGCAAACGGCTAACGTCAGATTCAAGTTGACAGTTTCTCAGATTAGAAAATGAACGGCTATAATCTGTCCAAAATAATTCTTATGGATGCGACTAACATGAAGCTACGTGCACTTATTTTTGTGTAGATATCACGAAGACAAAACGGTTCGGGGAAACTTTTTGAACACGTGGCGTAAACGTGCCGTAAACGTGATTCTAAAGCTATGTGCATACAGTACCGGATGGCTTTTCGTGACGCCCCTAAAAGCTCTCCGATATAGATCGTTTTCACTGTCTCGCAACGAAAAAGTAAATTGGGAACCGTCCAGTGGAAGAAGCCAAGAAAACGAAATGTTATAAAAGACTAATATATAAACAATTTGTCCAGGTTTCAGGTCTTTGTGGCCTACACTTTCTGAGTTATTTGCCGAAACGTTTCACGCAACTTTGTAGAGCTTTGTATGGAGACGCCATATTGGTGGACCGTTTTGGTCCACCAATATGGCCGCCGGAAATCAACAAAAACATTTGGAGTTCACTTTTTCTATAAAAGCTCTTTCTTTACACTCGAGAACTAGCATACGTGCGCATAAACATGTCTTTTAATACTTAAAATGGTTATACTTCTGAAAATCAAGAGGAGAAGCTTTTTTTCAACGAGACAGCATTCCGTTTTTGATGTCACGCACTGTGAAAACTCGGAAGTTCAAATTGCTGTATTTTCGAAATAAAACATGCTACGGGAATGGAAACTTTTACAAAGATTTACTTTTTGTTTATCTTCAACCTAGTGTAAATAAGAACTGGTAAAACCTCGCTATTTTGACTTTACAATTTGATGACGTCACTGTGAAAACCATCTATAGTATGAACACCGATCCGATATGTGACGTCACTCCACTTTAAAGATCCCAGCGGCGCAGCTTTGCTCCGTCACAGAATTCGCGCCAAAATCACCATTTTTGTGTATGGACAGAAGCCCTATCCGGTATGGTTTTCGCGGCGGCGTAAAAGCTATCCGTTATGCTGTAAACATGGCCTAAATCGTTCTATTGTTTGTCATTCAGCTGAAGGGTTAACCCGGCTCGACGCGAGTGGTTCGTTCATGATCACGTGATAGATCTTGGCAACAGCGCCAAAAGAATTTAAGTACCAGTTAGAAATATTGTGATTGATTAACTCTATGTAGTTATATAGTCAATGTCAATTGTAAGTTACATTCGTCAAGTCCCTTTTTTGTTTGTTTTTTCAATTTTTTTTTCAATTCCTTAGTACGCAATAATGTACCTCTTTGTAACTTTCACAGTGTGATTAAAATAAAACAATTATTAAAAAAAAAAAACAGCGCCAAAAGTGTATAAGTGGCGCGCAGCATTGCAAAAACTGCTATGTCAAATGTTAACGTTATAATTTCACCCACCAGTTCTGTTTGCGTGAACAGAACTTTGATTTTATCAACGGTGATTTGGCATATTAACTTTTAGGAGCAAGCCATTTCTTAGTCACAACTCGTTTTCTATTTGGCTGCTCTCAAGAGACAACTCTGATCATTTCTTTCATTCCGTGATCGCCAAAACGTAGCGCAACAATACTGGATTCGTATGCAAAGCACTTCCAACATTGTTGGACCCACGCACTCGCATTACACATGGTCTCCTTGGAATTTGTTTTATCCTTCCAACCATGCACTTCATGTACCAACAATGTTGGAAGTTGTTGCGTCCATTTTGCACGTAGCTTACGATTAAGGCTGTTAACATTCATAAACAAGTATTTTGTTTTTTTGTTTTTTTTGTTTACTTGTGTTTTTGTTATTTTCTCCGTAAGGTACATTTTTCCAATATTCACCCTTTGCTGGACTGAGCTTTTTGGCTTGAAAACCCGTGTACCGTGCGAAACTGAGGCTTATGTCCTTGCGAACTACGGAAAAGATTGGCATATGCCAATCAAGGAATGGAACTGGAAAGAAAGCCCGCCTAATGTGCGAGAAAACGGCCAATGGGACGAAAAGGACTGGGGCGAAGTTATACAGCTTTACTGACATTTTTAAAGAAGTGTGAGCTCAGAAATAAAAAATGAAATTATAATTCTGTTTTTATTAGCTTTGATATGAAATTGCGGGCACATCCCCACTCCGGCCCGTCGTCAAGAGTTAAGGGACCGGTCATTATTTATCACCCGTGGGTGGGAGGATTTGATACTAATTAAGGTGACATTTTTTTAGCCAATCCTCCCTTTGAATGTTACTTCACTCCTCCGATGTCTTTATTTTCCAAGCAAATTTGAGCGGTCCCCCCTCTGAATCCTTCCAAAGTTTTCAACGATCCCGCCTTTTGCTCTCCAAAAATCAGGTGATCCCCCTAAAATCAAGAAAAATGCTCTCAACTCACGTGTTTTGACGAACAATGCTCTTCTGCACTCACTTACTGCTCTTGCTGCAACCTTCAGTGCTGTGGCTTTTGGCCCTGTTTATAAGGAGGGAGGGTAACCCTGGTGCTAGGGTTACCCTGGCACTCGCATATTTCTTCTTTTTTTCACAAAACGCGTTTACAAGGTAGGTAGGGGTACGTGCAGTTAGCGCTAGGGTAGCCCTCCCCGAGTGCTAGGGTTACCCTAGCAAGGGGGTTACCCTACCTGCCTTGTAAATACTCAGCTAGGGATAACTCGCCTACCCAGGTCAACTTTCCTCCGTCATGCGTGACCAGTAATTGTGCAAATTTAAACGGTATCATCCAATTTCCGAGCTGGATTATAAACATCTGAAAAATAAAAAGTTATTTTCTGTCTACGATGATACCATTTCCCTTTTTTCGTGAATTCAGCGTGTTGTCCATAGAGAACCTCAAGATTAGTTTAAATTTGGACCGTTACAAAGAATGTCACGATGACGAAACACGTCAGCAAAGCTGGTAAAGTTGACTGGGGTGATAGAGTAACCCAACTTTAACCCGCTTGCTTGGGTAACCCTAGCACAGGGGTAACCTTGATGCAAAGCCACCACCAAAATGAATTTTGCGCGAATTTGATGTATCACGAATCGGATCCCGGCTGAGCGGGTTACCTCACCTTGAACGTTTACATGGCAAAATTTGACCCCGGGTGAGAGGGTTACCCGGTCTGGCAGACCGGGCTACCGGCCTTGGCGGGTCACCCCACCTATCATGTAAAGGTGATCAAATTAAAACGAGAGATTATATGGACAGGCGGGTTCAAGCAAGGACCAGCTTACAAAAAGGAAGAACCGGATCCTAATCACGCTGGGAAAAAAAGTGCTAAAAATCGGCCACAAAATGTGTCCAAAGTTTGTTTAAAAATATGCGTGGAATGTCACAAATATCTCTTAAACTATAGAAGATAATGAGTTGAGACTTTCACTTTCTATTTGTCTTAAGTTTTTCTTTCAAATTCTACATTTTTTGGGTTAGTACTGCGCATGACCAAAAAGTCCATTTTGTGACGTCATCAGTTGTGACGTCACAAAAATGAAATTTGAGATTCCAAATCGGACAAGTTCTTTAATTTTATGTGCACTATATTTGTGCAAAGTATCACACTTTCAGGTTTAATTCTCTTGGAGGAGAAGTCTTTGGGAATTTTGATTTTTTAATTGGCCACTAGAGGGTCACGTGACTCTCTACCAACAAAACGCCTATTCCAAAATTTTCCTGGAGTGAAGTATTGTTGCCTGTATTAATTTCAGTGTCATGCCCTTAAAGGAAAGAAAGTTATAGCCCCAAGAACTCCAAAAATGTTTTGTGCC